CCTAGCATCCTTTATTGAGGTGATTTCCAACACTTTTTGGGCATCGCCATTTGAGTCTCTGGCTTCTTTTTATCACAGTTTCCTCTTCCAGATCAGCCAAAGATAGCCACTTATACAAGTTGCATTGTCTTACACCAATATCAACAAATCGACCTGGTCCTTTTAGTTACACAAACACTCAAAGAAATAAGCATTTCTTTTGTAAATGGAATTAAATTTGCTCTTTACACAGCTATGGAAGAAAGTAGACATTGAAATGCTATAAGAAACATAGCAACTTCAATCCTATCATAAAAAATAATATAAGCATACAGAAGCCTATATAAACAACCAAAAAAAGGAAACCCTGACAAAAAATATAAAATTAGAAATAATGACAAAAAATAAAATACAGAAAATAATAATGCTAATTATAATATAACCAAAATCATGCTCAACAAACAGAAAGACTGACAGAAAAAAAGAGAAAGAGAAAAAAATGAAAACATGATATAACTGAAAACTTGAAGACATGATGCTAAAACATAGTCAGAACACATTGAGCAAGATGATTAACTCAGACATCACCCACATGCCATATCATTTACTTCTTGTAACAAAACCATGCATAAATCTTGAACACAGCAAAAAAAATATTTCCTGACAACCTTATGTTCTTAATATTTTTGTTATGCATAAACACTGTCAATCTTTTTGTTTTTATTTGTTTTTTCAGAATCAGAATTCAAGGACAGTGGAAGTTGCAAATCCCAATCTATCACAGCAACTGTCACTCAAAAGCAACTCAGAATATTTGAAACCTAAAGAACTGTAAACCTCTATTAATCTCAAAAGGCATTTACTTGCCATTTCAGAAATCATGCATCCGCTGAAAATATATATAATGCCTTAACCACATATTGTCATTAGGTTATCAGCCCTGAAGTTTGTCATCAATAACCTTAACAAATTTTATTTTCATACAAATGCTACATGAGACAATGGCTAAAACACTTCCTATTCCTGTGGATGTTCGCATCACGTGATCCCAGCGGCAGACAACTTAGGATCCGTCAGGGGACTAATTACTATGTGTATCTTGAGGGACTCACACGGCTCTTGGAGGTATCTTTGTCTTTCCTGGTGGAAAAGGGGTATAATGCCATTAATAACAAGGGATTGTTTTATATGCTATACTATCTTTGGTATTTGGTGTAAGTTCTATAATAATTAAAAAACTATACTAAAACACCAACACACATAGATCCAATACATACACACACATATACAAACATGCATGGATGTCCATATATACACATACACACAGACACGTGAATATACGCATATAAATCCTCACATATTATACACTGTAGTCACTTAACTACAGCTTCATCAATGTAACTACTTTACTATATCATTTGTTTATATTTTATCTATTTACTCATTACAGATTCTCTTCAAATTATAAGGATGAAAATTATTTGATATCAAATTTGATTAAAAGAAAAAAAATATTGATAATAATAATAACAACAACAATAATGATATTGATAATGATAACCATGATTATGATTACCATTATGATTATCATCATTATTAAAATGCTCATCATTATTATTATCATCACTACTCATTGTTATTATTTCAAGCAAAAATTCTTGCAACATACTCACCACAGGGTCATTCAAGCTATCAAAGGGAAGAATATCATCTAGGTTGAGCAGGTTGTCTTCACTCGAGAAGATGTACTTGGTGGAGACAACCTTGACAATGTACTCAATGCCATCCTGCACAGCAAAGACAAGCACTGCAATCCGCACTCTGGCATACTCCACATCTTTTGCTGTAACAGCTAACCTCACCGTCCGCAGTACAGCCTCTGGCACTTCAACTGTGCCTTGCCACACAATAAGATAAAACTTACGAAACCAAACACCCTGAAAAAAGGAAAATAATGTTTATTTTGAAGCAATTAAGTGCACATTTTATAATATTCCTATATGCATATATGTATACAATAAGTATTCTCTAAGAGAGAGAGACATGAGAGAGAGAGAGAGGGAGAGAGGGAGGGAGAGAGAGAGAGAGAGAGAGAGAGAGAGAGGGAGAGGGAGAGGGAGAGAGAGGGAGAGAGGGAGAGAGGGAGGGGAAGGGAGGGAGGGGAAGAGAGGGAGAGAGGAAGGAAGGGAGGGAGGGAGGGAGGGAGGGAGGGAGGGAGGGAGGGAGGGAGGGGAAGGAAGGGAGGGAGGGGAAAGAGAATGAGAGAGAGAGAGAGAGAGAGAGAGAGAGAGAGAGAGAGAGAGAGAGAGAGAGAGAGAGAGAGAGAGAGAGAGAGAGAGAGAGAGGAGAGAGAGAGAAGGAGAGAGAAGGAGAGAGAAGGAGAGAGAGAGTGGGAGAGAGTGAGAGTGAGAGTGAGAGTGAAAGAGGGTGAGAGGAAGGGAGGGAGGGAGGGAGGGAGGGGAAGGAAGGGAGGGAGGGAGATGAGGGAAATTGAGGGAAAGGTAGAGAGAGAGAGGAGGGA